TACCTTTATCAGGTTTTAGACTGCAAGCTCCTCAGGGCAGGGACCTGCCATTTCTTACTTTGGAAAAGAGAACCAGTGTGGTATAGTGGTTTGAGCATTGGACTACAACTCTGAAGACATGGGTTCACTTCCCAGCTGGGCCATGAAACCCACTGGGTGACCATGGGCAAGTCGCATGCTCTCAGCCTCAGGTGAAGGCAATGGCAAACCTCTTCCAAACAAATCTTGCTAAGAAACCCCCATGATAGGGTCGCCATAAGTTAGAAATGACTTGAAGGCACACAAATCCAATAAAAAGTGCTGTACGTGCTGATAACATTATCTTAATTGCTATTTTGGGAACTTTTGGCATGCTAATAGGTTGCTGTTCCACTGAGAGCTATGGCACTTTCTAGTGTGGATTTGTGTCCCGGTAGTATCATCTCAAATCCAGAGCCTGGTATTTTTGAAATTTATTTGTTACAGTTGCAATTCTGAGGCTAAAAAAAATAAAATACTATTGTAGTTTCAATATTTTAAAAAGTAACTCTTTGCTTGCCTGTTTTTCCCCAAAATAACTAAAATAATTTCTTTTTAGTTACTTTCTTTTTAAAAATAGAACATTTGAATGCTGCAACAGTAACAGTTTAGTAGGAGTGGGTGGGAGGTGGGGATTCATTATATTAGATCTTTGTCCATCTCTTAAGTTATTATGTGTTTGGCTTTCCCGCTGGTTGCCATTCTGCACTTTTCAGAAACCGATGTGTCAGTACGCTTTTGGATGTCATAAATTATTACTTATATTGAATAGTAATTCTCTTGGAAGGGTGAATGCCGGCACTAGTGACCTTGTTTCTATTGTGCTGCATTGCAGATCACGGAAGGAGCACTGACATTCCTAAAAACACAGTTACTCTACAGATCCATGCTCCCATTTCTGCCCCAGGTGACAGAGTGGCCACCCTTACTGGGTTTTCCCCTGGGCCTCATAGTTTTTGTTAACTCCTTTTTGTGGTGCAGAAAAGTGAGGAGTCTGAGAACATCTCAGAAGGATAGGTTTGCACTGAGAAGGTGGGCTTCAATATTCGCCTGCAAAGTTTCAGGACGGATTTAGCAAGTTAGTCCCTTATTGTTTTGCAGTTCATAGGCTCAAATCTTCTCCAAAACATGTAGTTTTAAAAAAAGATAGAGGAACACATTTTAATAACAGGTAGGAGCATGTACATTTCCAAATACATGCAATGTTTGTATGCTAGTTGAGGAGAAGGGACTGGTTGCTGGGTTTAAAAAAAATATCTATCTAGCTTGTTTTTCTGCAACAGAGTTATGTTAGAAAGGGCTATATTGGAAGGTCTTATCTTAGCCTTGACCTTTATGTGCTGATATGCCAAATTGTGAGGTTGCACCCAAAGAATCTGTGTCTATAGCTGATCAAAGAAGCATCCAGTGATAAGGGTACTCTTTGCCTTTAGGCTGTGTGTGTGTGTGTGTGTGTGTGCATGTGTGCAAGTCTTCCTACTGAAAGTCATCTCTCATTATAGTTTCCTGAGCTGTCATGCATTCTCTTGATACCCTTCAGAAATATGCATACCAAAACTGTCATTGTCTTTTGCAGCTTGATCTTGCCCCTTAACCAGAAGGCTTAGGGTTGTTTTTTGTTTTTTTTTAAAAAAAGGAGTGTGAAAAACATTGTTTTTCTATAATAGAAACCATAACACACCATAGTTTCTGTTAGCACTACTCTGACCCAGAAAAATGTATGTATTTTCAGTTTATGGTTACCCTCTCTATGTAAAGGTCAGCGGCATGGCATCTGTCATGCTTTCTGTGCATTGTAGGTTCAGATATGTCCAGAAATCAATTGTGTTGGCAGTACAACTTGCCCAAACAGTTCATCTGTACAACCAAAAGCTGATTGACATTGGGGAGAGGTTGAACAGAACAGAAAGGATAATTTAGTTTATGTTTTTTTTTACTGGAAAGGGGTCTATGAGAGAATGCTTTCTGTACTAAAAATCTTGCTTGGACACATTCCATGTGCCCTTTGTAGCTTTACTTTATATGTCCATTCCCCCCCCTCCTTTTTTAAAAAATATGAATAAGTCTTCCAGTAATATTGTAACTAGTTTCTGACCTGAGACAGAGGCTTATGACAAGAAAAGAATTTGTAAATGTTACATTTTGGATCATAACTCCAAGGATCTCCCATTAGGTATGCTGAACTGAGGATTTTGAGAGTTTTAGTTCAAAAAGATAATATCTCCAAATTTGCTAATGCAAAAAAGTTTATGCTCAAATCTACCTCTCACGCTCAGTCTGACTTCAAATATGC